GGTGCCCCGTTCGCAGCCATGTTGGTTCTGGCCTTCTCTTCCTGTGGCCTTTGTTCTTGCTGGTGTCCTGTTGCTTACTGTGACCAGAGCCTGCTCCCCAGGGGGTGGAGGAGTCCCGAGGGCCCACAGTCACCTGCCACTGTGACCCACTAGCTCTTACCTAGAACAGAAGGGGCAGGAAGTGTTCTTCCTCGCGTGTGATGTCAGCAAGGCCAAGGAGCTGGGGAGAGTAGTCACCCAAGCAGCTGAGGTGTGGAAAATGTGCTTTCCAGGCAGGAGGTGGCCTTTCCACTGAGGAGCATCTGCCTAGCATATCCTTCTAGCCCACTGTGGTAGCATACACCTAGCACTCAGGGACTGAGGCAAGAGAATCTTCTTTCAGGTTAGCCTGGTTTACATACTTGTCTCTGCCTCAAAAACAATAATAGATATATAGAAGTCAGTGTTCTTCTTTAATACATAACAAGCAGTTAGAAATAAGAAACACTGATCAGTGGACAAAAGTATATAAGCAGAAATTTCAGGGCTGGGTGGTGGTGGTGGTGGTGGCGGCGGCGGCGGCGGCGGCGGCGGCGGCGGCAGCGGTGGCAGTGGTGGTGCACACCTTTAATCCCAACACTCAGGAGGCAGAGGCAGGTGGATCTCTGAGTTTGAGGCTAGCCTGATGTACATAGTTCCAGACTAGCCATAGCTACATAGATAGATCCTTTCTCAAAACAAAAAAGACACTTTAGTTGGTACAGTATTTGCCATGGAAACATGAGGACCCAAGTCCAGTCTCTGGAGCCCATGTAAAAGCCTGGCGTGGGGGACACATATAAACCCAGCATTGAGGACGGAGAGAGGCAGGTCCCTGCGGCTCTATGGCCAGTGAGAGATCCTGTCTCCGAAGATTAGGTGACACCTGAAGAATGTCACCTGAGGTTGACGTGTAGCCTCCACACACCTGCACACATCTACACAGACACACACATACGAAGACAAAACAATTGACCGAGAGGGCTGAAAGCACAGCAGCCATCACACACACACACACAGACACACACACACACACACACACACAGCCATAATCAGCCTTCCTCACCATGCCAGGAAATGGTGCTCTCCACCAGAAACCCTGGTGCTAGGCAATAACCAACATATTTGCCCCTGGGACTGCTGCCTTGGTCCAGAGTCCTGAGACCTCACACCAGCTGGGACAGCAGTCAAGATTAAAGAGAACACAGAGGAATTCATCACAAGTTGGGCCTCTGAGGGGTTCCCTGTCAGACACAGCACGTGTCTAAGTCTGATGTCAGATCTCTCCAGAAACAGCACCAGAGGCTGACAGACCCCAGAGCTGCCGAGGGAGGCATCAGGAAAGGGAGGTGAGCATGGCTGGGTGGATGGTGTGCAAAGCCACACGGGGCACACCCATCATCCAGCACTCAGGAGCGTAACATCAGAGCATCTCAAGGCAACATGGGCTCCATGGTGAAAGCTTGTCTCAAGGGAGTTTAAGAGCTGTGAGATAAACTAGTAAAGGCACCGAGCCTGGCAGCCTGAGTTCAGTTCCTGAGATCTATATAGCGAAAGGAGAGAACCAACTTCCAAATGTTGTCCATGAGTGCTGTGGCACACGCATGCCCACAAAATAAATCAATGTCATTTAAAAGGATTTTTGACTAGCCAGGAGGTGGTGGTACACACCTTTAATCCCAGCACTCAGGAGGCAGAGGCAGGTGGATCTCTGAGCTCAAGGTTAGCCTGGTCTACAGAGCAAGTTCCAGGACAGCCAGGACTGTTACACAGAGAAACCCTGTCTCAAAAAACTAAAAGGGTTTTTGGCTGGGCATGATGGTGTGCACCTTTTAACCCAGCACCCAAGAGGCAACAAACAAACAAAACGAAACCAAAAACCAGGAAGATCTCTGAATCCAAGGCCAGCCTGGCTTACGTTGTGTGTTCCAGGGCTACACAGTAAGACCCTAGCTCCAAAAACAGAAAAAGAAGAAAAAAATTGAAAGCCAGGGATTGTGGCCAGAGGTTAGGCCGTGCAGCAGTCAGTGGGTTGGGATAGACTGCAGGGGGCCTTGGCATGCCAAACAGAAGGTCTGCCTCGCTCCTTAAGAACTCAGATTTGGAAAGGATCCTCAGTAGAAGGGAATGGTGACCAGTATGTGTGAAAAGGCGGGAAGCAGAAAGATGTGTGAGGTGATACGGTCTGGCTCCCGATGAACCGTGGACACTTGGAAGAGCACCCTCTGGGGCTTGGGTGTGAAGACAGCAGACAAATATGACTCTGGGATTTGTGTTTGGGCCCTGGGTAGGAATGGGGGGGGGTGTCCATTGATAGCCCCATGCCATACCACCCTCTTGGGGAACCAAGTTGTGGGTAGCTGGGAGCCCCTGTGTCTTTGGGATCTGCATAGCTAAGCCATACAGGCCCCACTTTTTACCACTGGCAAAGATAGATGGGTACCTTAGCAACTAAGGCAGCAGCAGCCATAGCTGAGCTCATGTTGGCATCTGAAAGGACCAGCCCCTGGTTACTTGTGTCCTTCAGCTTAGGGGACGTAGAGGGAGATGAGCCATCCCGACTCCTTCAGGAGGGTGGATGTCATCCAATGCTCACCAGCCTCCCAGGCCAAAAGCTTTGCTACAAAGAGCAGGGGAAGAGTTGGTGCAAAGGTCTGCACATGGCGGTGCACACTTCAATCCCAGAGCTTGGGAGGCCGGTGAAGGGGGAGCTCTGTAGTTCCCGGCCAGTCACAGCTACATAGGAAGACACTATCTCAAAAAAAACTAAAAGGAAAAAAGTCAGTGCAGAGGTGGGATCTTCAACAAACTGTGAGATCGGACCTCTTCAAAGCCATCTGGTTTCCAGGCCATCCATCAGAAAGGGATGGGATGTGCCTGGCTCAGCCGACCTGGGTCCAGGCGAGTGGGACCACATGGGGTTGTGGCCCCTCCCCAGCCTGACTTCCCCTTCATCTCTCCCCTTCCCCAACCCTAACATCCCCCAACAGTGGCAACAGCAAAGGAAAAGACATCAACACCATCAAGTCTCTCCGAGTCCTCCGGGTGCTACGACCTCTAAAGACCATCAAGCGGCTGCCGAAGCTGAAGGTGACTGGGGTCGGGAGAGGGGCCTCGGGCTGGCCACACGCGGATGGGACGGTTGCACATTGCTCCAGAACCCACACTGAGAAACAGACCGTGGTGTGCACTTGGGATCCAAGCACTTGGGGGCTAAGGGAAGACAATCCCAAGTTCCAGATCAGCCTGGATCCACAGAGGACCTCCATCTCAAAACACACTGAAGGAGATGCTGGTAGCCTCATGGCCTCTGTATATGGGTTACTTACTGGGCTTGTCCAGTAGACGGCAGCAGAGGGGTTGGCTGGCTGAATCTGCCCTAGGTCAGGACTCCCTTTCATGGTCAGCACAGAGACAGGGCAGACCATAGTTGGGGAGGCACTAGTTCCAGGGCAGCAGAACTGTCTAAAAAACCGGGACATGGGGGATGTATCTCAGTGGCAAGAGTGCTTGCCTTGTGTACAAGAAGCACTGGGTTCCATATCCAGTGACTCAAACTGGTGGAGGCAGGAGGATTAGAAAATCAAGGCCATCCTTTTAAGGCCTGCCTGAGCTACATGAGACCCTGTCCAAAAATGGTTGTGAGGTGCCTGAAACAGGACACCTGCTGTGTGCACAGCCGCCATACTGCTGTTAGGGGACAAGGGCGAGGGAGAGTCGTGCACACGTGGAATCTATCTTCCGCCAGTATTTTCAGCCCAGCTGTTAGAACCTGCAGGTGCCCCAGGTGTAGCGAGAACAGCCATGCTTCTGGTCTCACGCCTCTGTCTTCCGACGCAGGCTGTGTTTGACTGTGTGGTGAACTCACTCAAGAATGTCTTCAACATCCTCATTGTATACATGCTGTTCATGTTCATCTTCGCCGTGGTGGCTGTGCAGCTCTTCAAGGGCAAGTTCTTCCACTGTACAGATGAGTCCAAGGAGTTCGAGAGAGACTGTCGGTGGGTGGGCCGCTGTCGGTGGGTGGGCCGTGGTCCCCAGGACACTGTGGCAGGGGAGGTTGAGGTACAGGGTGGATGGTGCAGACACTGAGGCAGAGGAAGGACTGGGTCAGCTTGGGTCTGGAGTACGGTTTTTGTTTTGTTTTTAAGTGTGGTGTGGTGGTACACACCCAGGATCTCAGCACTCAGAAGGCTAAGGCAGGAGGATCACCCTGAGTTTTGAGACCAGCCTGGGTTACAGAGTGTGTGTGCTTGGCGTGTGCAAAGCAAGGCACAGGCCCGCTCCCTGGCATGAAAATAATAACAAAAAGTAAAAGACCTCTGTGATGCGAGGCACAGACCTGTCGCCCCAGCCCTCGGGAGGCTGAGATGTGAGGGTGGAGAGGCCCAGACCAGCCTGGGCTACAGAGAGACCCTATCTCATAAAAGAAAAGCAAATAAGAAACAGTGAGAATCTGGGTCCACAAACCTGCTAAGCCCTTCTCCTAATCTCCCAGTGATTTTGAGGCGGGGCTCTTAACACAAATCCATAGTCCCTCCGTGGGTCGTGTCTGAGCAACCCTGTTCAGATGCTTCCCAGGCACGGTGGCACAGGCCTGTCATCCCACTGCTTGGGACATTGAGGCAGGAAGAGCCAGAATTCCCAGCCGGCCTAGGCTATGTTGTGAGACCCTGCCATACAAAAGGGATCCTAGACTCTTGGGTGGTGTTTGGAACTCACTCTTGCCTGTTCTGAAAGGGGCAGCCATGGCCTCCTGAGGTGTGAGGACCCCGACATAGGCTGTCCCTGTGTCTGCCTCCCCATCCTGCGTGTGTCCCCACACCCACACTCAAGCCAGGGTCTCCGGCCCCCACAGGACAGCGCTGTGCCCCTCCAGGCAGCGCAAATGGCCTTGGGAGGTGGTGGCGCCCTGCTGACTAACCAGCTCTCTGTGACAGAGGCAAGTACCTCCTGTACGAGAAGAACGAGGTGAAGGCCCGCGACCGTGAGTGGAAGAAGTACGAGTTCCACTACGACAACGTGCTCTGGGCCCTGCTCACGCTCTTCACCGTGTCCACGGGCGAGGGCTGGCCGCAGTGAGTGGCCTGCGCCAAAGGGCAAGGGCTGGGGACCCCAGGAGCAGAGCGGAGGGGGGGAGAGAAGGGGTGTCGGAGCCTGGCCCTGTGCCCAGGGTTGCTACCAAGATGGCCCTCTCACAGTTCGGGTGGGGGGGCTGTCCACGGGGCTGTGGGCGTGGCTCTGATGCTGAACTCTGGCCTGGCTGTTGGGAAGCCCAGGCTACTGCCCCGGCAGCACAAATGTGAACACGAACTTAAAAACAGCAGCCTTTCTGGGCACGGTGGCCACGACTGTGAGCCCAGCATCCCAGTGGCAGAAGCAGAGGGGTCTCTGTGACCCCTTGGTGCCACGATGGCGCTCTAGACCGTCCAAGGGTGCACAGTGAGACTCAGAACAAACAACACAGGGCTGGGAGGTGGCTCTGAACAGGCTGTTCATCCAGAAGACAGGAGCTGAGTTCCAAGCTCGCACGCACATCAGGTTCACAACCACCTGCTCCTCTGGCAGTCTGGTGCCTCTGAGCTCTGAGGGCGCTGCACTTTTTTACACAGTTTTAAATAAAAAATGTTTAACAACTAAAATAAAAATTAAGAAAGAAAGAGCCTCAGGGCTGGGGGGATGGGTCAGTTAGTAAAGTGCCTGAGTTTGAACCCCAGCACCCACATAACAGCCAGGCATGGGGACACACACCTGGAACCCCACCCAACACTAACCCCAGGGGCTCGGTGGCTGTCTGGCTTAGCTCACAGGCAAGGTCAGTGACAGACCCTGTCTCCGAGAACGAGGCAGGCAAAGGGGTCCACGTGTGGAAGAAGGAACTGACTCCCAAAAGTTATCCTCCGACCTCCACATGCACACACCAATAAACACATTTAAATGTGCCCAAGAATGCTTGCAGCTCTTACAGAAGACCCGAGCAGTTTCCAGCACCCAAATCTGGTGGCTCCAGGGGATCCAGCATCCTCCTCTGGCCTCTGTGGATACCTGCACTCATCTGCCTCCTATGTGCACACATACGCACACATACATACACGTAATTAAACAAATTTAAAAAGAAGGTCATAGTCACACAGAAATGATTTGTCCAGACAAGGTACCCATGTTCATTATGGTGACATACACATTTATCACATCTGCTACACATTTTTTCTTTGATTAGAGATAATTCACCAGACACAGAACCAAGGCCCCACCGAGGGAACTGTTGAGCAGTGCACATCCTGTACATCCTTCCAGAGCTGTTGTGACCACACTCCCACACTCACTGCTACCGAACCTCCTTCCCACCCACCACCACCAGGCTTAAATGTCCCACTCTGACTGATGCCTGTGGCCAAGATGCCCTACCTCATCCATCACCACAAAACTGCCTTTAGATACCAACCAGGTGGTCTTTAGAAGAGTCTCCAAACTGCTGAATGTCAGTTGCCTTGTGTACAAAATGGAGCCAGGAATGACCTCCCCAGGGTCTGATGGGAAAGTATATGAAACGTTCAGCATTGTCTGGCATGTGGTCAACCCAGTGCTTCTCAGAGGCATTGACTGGGTTTCTTTTTCATCTCCTCTGTCCCTTCCACTCCGGTGTCCCTGCTCTCCCCCGCCCTCCGCTGCTCTCCTGTCCTCCTTCCCACCTTCACAGGGTCCTCAAGCACTCAGTGGATGCCACTTTTGAGAACCAGGGCCCCAGCCCCGGGTACCGCATGGAGATGTCCATCTTCTACGTGGTGTACTTCGTAGTGTTTCCCTTCTTCTTTGTCAACATCTTTGTGGCCTTGATCATCATCACCTTTCAGGAGCAGGGAGACAAGATGATGGAGGAGTACAGCCTGGAGAAAAATGAGGTACCGCTGCCTAGTCATGTTCCCTGTTTAAAAACTGGTACACAGCCCATTCTCTCTTCTCTTCTCTCTCTCTCTCTCTCTCTCTCTCTCTCTCTCTCTCTCTCTCTCTCTCCACACACACACACACACACACACACACACACACACACACACACACACACAGCAAGAAACCTGAATGAGAAAAGACTGCTCCTAGGTATAGTGGAGGAGGTTTATTGTAGATAAAGGGGGAACATAGACCAGAGGCAGGAACATCTGGGGGAGTACAGAGTGAACATGACCCTGAGCCTGGCCATGTGATGGAAGGGGGAGGAGAGAGGGGAGGGAAGGGCCTCTCCAAGAGGGGCCAAGAGACTGGCCAAGAGGGTAAAGGGTAGACCAAAAAGCCACATAACCAAAATGTCTGGATTATATAGGGAAGAGCAGCTGGGGAAGGGCAGCCCAGCCCCTGGACTAGGAAGTTTAGGGTAGGAGGCGGGGCATGACAGCCATATTCTGTAACAGGTAGGGACTGAGGGATGCTGGGAGAATCTGGCAGCCAGGTCTGCTTTGATGTGTTAAATAAGCACCTCAGTTAGCCTTTTGTCCCAGTCTCTTTGTTGATAATGACAAGGGGAAATGCAATCTTTCTATGGCTACTTCCTGCTGACATTGGGGTGTTGGGGACCCAAGACAGCTGGAATATTGGCCAAGGCCAGGAAGAGCAGGGCGCTTCACTTGCTGTCCAGGCTCTGTGGGGCCATCTGGGGCTAAGGAAGTGCAGGCCGCATTGGAGCCATCTGTGAGGCTGGACCAGGTGTCTTAGTCAGGGTTTCTATCGCTGTGAAGAGACACCATGACCATGGCAACTCTTTTTTTTTTTTTAACATGGAACGCTTCACGCATTTGCGTGTCATCCTGGCACAGGGGCCATGCTAATCTCTGTATCATTCCAATTAGTCTATGTGCTGCCGAAGTGAGCACCACGGCAACTCTCATCAAGAAAAGGTTTAATTGGGGGCTCGCTTGCAGTTCAGAGCTTTAGTCCATTATCATCGTGACGGGAAGCGTAGTGGTGCTGGCTACATCTTCAGAAGGCAACAGGAAATTGCCTGTGACATTGGGAATAATTTGAGCATAGAACACCTCAAAGCCAACCCCACAGTGACCACACCGCCTAATAGTACCATCCCCTTTGGAGGCCATTTTCTTTCAAACCACCACCTGGGGCTAGCTACTTTGAAGTCATCTAGGATGACTGAGGCTGGTTGGAAATTCCATCAGAAGCACATGGGGCTGGTGAGTTTGGAGCAGTTTGCAGTAGCAGATTAGAAATCTGCTGGAACCAATATATATTAGGGACAGAAGGTATAGGTGAGGAGTTTAGAGGCGAGTTTTTATCCAGAGTGTGCATTTGAAACGCCTAGGTCTGTGGACCTGGTAGTTCCAGGGAGGTGTAAGGGCCCAAGAAAATGCTGAAGAAAGACCCCAGGCTCAAATAGTATGCAAGAACAAAGATCATCTACTGTGCAGAAGCATCCAGCATTCGGGGTTGGCCGCTTGTACAAATGGCGACCCGGGACAAAGGCGCACAGGTCCTTTTGAGCACAGCTAGGGGAATTTCAGGAACATCTAGGTCATCTCAAACATGATTGGTTAAGCAGGCAGCATTTATGTTAGCACATTTTTAATAATTTATTTAATTTTATTTTATGTGCATTGGTGTGAGGGTGTCAAATCTCCTGGAACTGGAGTTACAGACAATTGTGAGCTGCCATATGGGCACTGGGAATTGAACCTGGGTCCTCTGGGATAGCAGCCAGTGGTCTTAACCACTGAGCCGTCTCTCCAGCCCCATGTTAGCACATTTTTGATAGGGCTAAGGTTCTGGGTTTTTGACTTTGGATTTATTTGGGCAACTCCAGGCTTGTTTCAGGGTATTACAGGAACTATCTTTTTTTGGTCATTGTCTTATAATATTGTGGTTCAAGCCTCTCTCTCTCTCTCTCTCTCTCTCTCTCTCTCTCTCTCTCTCTCTCTCTCTCATTCCTGCTGTTAGGGGTGTTGTTTGATTAATAGCCCTTTGTTTAAGAAACTGAAACTTGTTTGCTCTTTAAAAAAACTGAAACCCAGATCCAGTTGTAAAATGGGGGAAATTTAGACCTCTCAAGCAGATTCCCAAAACTAAGAAAAGGGGGAGAGATCCTACCTTCAGGAATAGGCAGGTGGAGAAACTTAAAAGAGTACTTATCTGGAATCCATTTGACCTTCGAGAAGTGAATTCAACTTGATTCCCCAAAGCTTACAAGAATTTTTTAATTTTATAAAAAGAGATAAAAGTTTTAGTTTGTTTTTTGTGCTGCTGTTGTTGTTTTGAGACAGGGCCTCTATGTAATTCTGGCAGTACTAGAACTCACTCTATAGAAAAGACTGGCCTGAACTCACAAAGATCCGCCTGCCTCTGCCTCCTGAGTGCTGGGATTAAAGGCGTATGCCGCCGCCGCCGCTGCCGCCGCCACCACCACCATCTGGTTACCTGGTTACTGTTTGTAATCTGTATTGAAATCCAGATTGGCCTGTCAGTGGTGGCATACACCTTTAATCTTAGCACTCAGGAGGCAGAGGCAGGTGGATCTCTTTGAATTCAAGGCCAGCCTGGGCTACACAGCGAGTTTCAGGACAGCCAGGGCTACACAGTAAAACCCTGTGTCAGGGAAAAAGAAAGAGAGAGAGAGGGAGGGAGGGAGGGAGGGAGGGAGG